GTATAATGTGGAATTTTAAACTTCAGCAGATGGTTTACATTCAAGTTAGATTTCGTGGTATTCGAGAATAGTTGACCACACATACGTCCGTTGCTCCGCAAACGTGCGACCAAGCAACTACCCAATTCAGACGTTTGTGGTGGACCCAAAGAATGCCAAGTAAACCAAAATGACAAACTACGTACAATCCACAAGAAAAATGGATTTCTTGATTCAAGTGTATGAAAAGTTATACGTTATAGCATGAATAGCACTGTCAGTGTTATAGATAAACACTGGTTACTTGAAGGTTATCTCTTCCGTACAGTCCACCACAATTTTAAAATACTCCAGAGATCAGAAGGCGATATTTGTCGTCTCTCCGCTGTGGTCGTCGGTCGGCTTGATTGTCATAATATTTGGAAGTAGGATGAGAAGTCCTGTAAATTCCCAAGACAATCAGTCATTATGCACGACAGGCAATAGTCACGGAGGCAGAAGTCGGAATGGTTAGAAACACATTATATTTCCACGATTAGCAGCAGTAAAAGATGCAATTACCGTCACAACCAGAAAAGTGTGTATATAAACAACATTCGTTTTTACAAGTATTAGGAATAATGTACAGAATGTGTAAAAGAAACGATGAAAAGGAAATATTGCTTATGGTTGAAGTGGTTTATACACAATTGTATGCATTCTGCACACGTTTCATCAGTTTGACGTAAGCATAATTTGATCATATCTTCGAAACTATTTCCGCATACTTCGTATACTCCACGTGCTGGTTTCTCACTGATCAAATAGAACTCGTGCTAATAATTATTTGTCATGTGTCGATTTGCGTACGCCAGATTTCCTCCGATGCATTGTATGCAGTGTGCGTTACTTCTAAAATCAGTGACTTGAATAGGAAAATTTTTAGGGGAGATATTTCTAACATGCTCCTTGGTATTCATGCTTCGCTATACACTCCCTTACATTTTTTCCTTCACCGATAATACACTAAGACACTTGGGAAAGAGAATCTTGGCCGTCGAGAAGGCCACCTCTGCATTCAACTTGCTGCCCTGATCTCATGGTGGTCGACGTGCAGTTAACGATAACGATAATGTAATATATTTCACACAACATAAGTTACATGAAAACAAACCAGTTTACAGGTTTGATCACTTTGGTAATGTGAACTGACTCCAATTTTCAATATCAAGCGACACCTTAGACACCCTTATTCACAGCACTCTCACTCTCCTGTCCACCCCAAGTAAAATATTAAGCCGCATCATCCTGGAGAGGCTTAAAGATGCACTGGATCCAAAACTACGACCGGAACAGGCTGGCTGGCTGGAATCAGGAAGTACAAATCATGTGCAGACCAAACTGCAACGCTTCGCATCATCATAGAACAGAGCATAGAATGGCAATCAGCTCTATACCTCAACTTCATCGACTTTGAGAAGGCCTTTGACAGCGTCGACCGAGAGGTAATTTGGAAACTGCTTCAATACTACGGAATACCGCAAACCTTTATCCGCCTCACTCAACAACTATATGAAGACGCCACATGCTGGCCAAGTAATTCACAGTGGGAAGCTCAGTGATGCTTTTGAAGTGAAGACAGGAGTGAAACAAGGTTGCCTACTATCACCCATGATATTCCTGATTGTGGTCGACTGGATCATGCAGCAAACAGTAGGCAGCGAGAAGAGGGGGATACGCTGGCTGGACTGCGGAAAAGAACCTAGAAGACTTGGATTTCGCCAACTATGACTTGTGCCTGATGTCACATAAACTTGAAGATCTACAGGCGAAAACTAACAAGTTGGCAGAAGAGGCGAGGAAGCGAAGACGGGACTTCAAGTGAATATAGAGAAGACAGAAGTGATGAAGATACCGCACCAACAACTCCAACAACAAACTCCAATCACCATGAACGGGAGAAACTTAAAGGAAGTAACCTCCTTCACCTATCTAGGAAGCACTGTTTCAACTACAGGCGCCACAGGCACAGACGACGATGTCAAAGTCAGAATCGGAAAGACAGCAAGACAGGCCTTCATTAGCCTGAAACCAGTGTGGAGATCTTCTGCACTCAGCATGTGGAACAACATCCGGATTTTCAACACCAACGTCAAGTCAGTGCTTCTGTGTGATGGTTGAGAGACTTGGCGTGTTACGAAAGGGATTTCCAATAAACTACAGACATTCATCAACAACTGCTTACGCTGGCTCGCTACTGAAGATCAGATGGATTGCCAGAAAGAATAAGCAACGAGGAGCTCTGGGAACGAACCAACCAAGAACCTATCACTCAACAAATATGCAGAAGGAAGTGGAGATGGATTGGCCATGCACTGAGAAGGCCGACTGGGGACATCACGCGTCAGGCTAGGCCCTCGAGTGGAACTCCCATGGGAAGCGACGAGTTGGACGTCCAGGTTGATGGTGACATGGAAGAGTTCGTGCGAGGAGGAAATGAGAGCTTCTGGGCTGTCGTGGAGCCAGGTTCAAAAGATCTCAGAGAACAGGATGAAATAGAGACGTGCTACTGAAGTCCTATATTCCACTAGGAACCCAAGGGACTAATAATAATAATAATAAATACTGCCTGAGCAGCTGCCTGCCAAACTAATTCTCAGTCGATGCTGTCGCAGGTCTATTCTAAGTCGACGAAGTTGAGGCGAAGATCTAGTTGACTGTCATACTATGCTCTGTTCTATAATGATGGTGGGTAGTGTGGCGTTGCAATTCGAACCGCACAGGATTTGTTCTTCCTGAAGGCAGCCAATCAGCCAGCCAGCCAGCCAGCCTCTTCCCGCCGTAATTCTGAATGCAGAGCATTTTTCTAGTTTCTCTAGGCTAATATGATAATATATGTTTCCAGTAATGAATCATACGAGCACACGCCATTTTCACAGGTGATGGTGCGGCTTATTATTGCTCCTGATGGCTGTGGTGAACATGTCCTTTTCAGTTCATTCCTTCAGTTTTTGAGTGCTGAACTTCAACTGTGGTCTTTCTCCAACTCCTTCGAACTTGATTTTGAAGTTAGGTTCCTTGCACCAGATAGTGAGTGGTGTCAACATACATCTACTACTCAGCTTGATCTCGTCCACAGAAGACTCAGTCTGCACTTCCCTCACATTGAAATCAAGTCGGTCTGATTTTTAGTGTGGTGTGTCCATCTGTTGAAATCAAATAAATCTACGTTGTTGCTTTGTGAATATCATGATGATGGATATCCTTGTGTTTGTACACACTACCACCAATCACCGAGTCGTTGAATGCGCAGAAGCCTGCAAACAGCTCTCCATTCTCATCCATCATTTCACCGGGTGCTTCTCGACCCATGATGTATGTGTTCTCTTCCTGTGTTGTCCACTCCAGTTTTTCATTCATGTCACCCCACATATCAGGATGAATTCTGATGTCGCCATCATGAGTGGGGTCTTGTCCAGTACTGATTGCAATTGTCTGTAGAATTCCTCTTTCTTCTCTTCAACTGCATCACTTGTAGATGCATAACATTGGCATTGTATGATTGTGACTTGCCTTCCCTTTGATTTGAATCCATCTTGCTGTCATCATCCTTATCCTGGTCCTGATCCCGGTTCTGCAGGTGGAGGTTGGTTCCTACTGCATGACACTGAGCCTTCGATGCTCTTGGTGGAGGTGGACATCATGATGGTCACTCGAAAACTCAGTGTGCCCGCGATTGTCGTCTGGGTGACAATTTCCGGGTAGATTATTGACTACTTTCCAGTTCACAGTATGACGAGTCCACATTCATTCCATTCGCAGATTCCTCACAGATTCCTAGCACTCCTATGCTATACCTTATCATCTCCTTTACAATCTGGACAGCCTTGCCAGTCAGCCAGCTTCAAACAGTGTGCAGACATTTCATGTCCCCTAGCTTACTTTCGCTTTCATAGAGAGAAGAGAAAGCACATCAGCGCAGTCAATTTGCTTTCCGAAGGCTTTCACCAAGAGGCGTCATATCGTCTCCCCGATTCCAGCGAGAGACATGTTCACTTTTATTCTCCGTATTCTTTCTGTGCTCTGAAGTTTCCGTGGAGATTGCATTGGTTAATCAGCGGTTTTCAAATTTCTACCTGCTTAGTGGAATAACCCAAGGGCAGTGGAGTAGAATCCAGCTGGTGTAAATATTGATATGATTATGGGGGTGGGGGTGCAACTTGAAATTCCACATCCCATTTCATGCCGCTTAAATAACATGCAGTTGGAGAATATATTCTAATGAGTCATGCTGCCATCAGCACATTCAACATGACAGTTGGAATCTTGCCCTCCTAACCTCACAATTTTCCCACCTCACTGTATCACACTCTTCTCCTTCCTCCTCCATATGTCTTCCTCAGCCAGACTCATCATTATATCAATGTGGCAGACACCTACTTAATCATCCTAATCGTTTTCCATAATTATTGCATGGAGAATGATTTCCTGATCCTGATGACAGATGATCATGTCAGCTTCAGTTTCAATCTCCCCATAAGGAGATGTTTACTGAGACGAATCCCTGACAGGTACCTTTTATTTTCACGAGGACACATAAAGGAACAAGCTGTTCATTGTTTATGCAAATGTTCATTTCACTACTTTCGAATGTGCACAGTGTTTAAACGGATATCGCTTAAGATTCTCCAACATTAGTTTAACCTGTGCCAATATGATTCCCAATTAGTCTTTTTCTTTTCTTCAACGTAGCATGTTTTCTACGTATCCGGTAACCACACACTCAATTTATCTCTTCATTTTCTGATCAGCGTTTTAAAACCAAATTTTCTACACTTATTCACACTGTAACTGTAGAATATATATCGCTTTTATGAGTGGCATCTTAATTCTGGCAAAAGACAGGTATAAAAAAGTGCAAAGTAAAGAATTCAAGTAGGGAATTACATGGCTCCAAAGTTGCACGAATGTAAGCTGACAAGCTTTCTGTTGCCGCTAAGGAGCGAACCCCAAGATCTGAACTCCAGCGCTCATAAAGTGTCAATTCAACGTGTTCGAATGATTGACGCCGACGTTTAAATGCTGGAAGTATGACTCAGTAAAAAGCATCTTTGAGTTTAAGACTACTAAGTTTCTATTTCACAACTGTTTCTACCCATAAATGTGGTAACACTAAGCTATCTAAAAATTCCGGAGAATTTGAATCTTTCCGCCTTTTCAAGGTAATTTGAGTGTTGGAATTTCAGGCTGTTTATGGAGAGCTTATTGAACTCAAAAATGCACTTATGTATTCGCAAATCGCAGTCAATCTAAAATTCTACCAAATGGACCTTGCATCTTAAAGTGAATGCGTCAGCATAAAGTATTTTTCGTAAGTAGGTATAGCATGGTTTCATTCCAAAGCTTCTGTTGATCTATAGTTTTTTTTCAGGAAGTATTGTGTTATTTTTTGATTATCTGTGTAGCTTACTTTCAGACCAGTTAAGTTTCATTACCTGGTTTGTAGAAATCGCTTTTTTGTCACTGTTAACCACCTCAGTAGGTTTTTAACATTAGTAAAAAATTCAACTTATTTATGCTGTATTTATGAATATATTGAGTCGTATTACTGAATACCTAGGCCATTCGACATCTTACCATTGAGTTTTAACAGCTCGAATCGCTTCCTGACCACTGAGATTTGAGCAGTCAGGAAGTATCATTGGCTCTCATATTATTGTTCTGACGAATGGTTCAACCTTGTATCTGAACCGCATAGTGCTACGTAAAAAAAAATAGTTATTTTTTATTTCACTGCTACCAAAACAGTGTCTGCTATAGCTTTCATTTATAAATGAAAGCGAGTCATTGGTTTCAGATCCCGATCTATCGTTCGAAGATAGGAGGCTATGAGCCTATATTACTCCTTTCCCAGCAGATATCTCCGCTTGTCCAATCCCTTTTTGAACCAGTCAATTGATGATGCGGACACTATTTCTGAGAGTCGGTTCCAGGAGTTGATTACCCGGTGCAAGAACCAACACTGTTCGTTTTTTGCTCTCGTAGCCTCCTACTATGTGCTCTGAGATCTTCCGACCTACTGGGAGGGAAGAATGAAGACAGATCAGGTCTGAAGCCATTTTTTTGAATCCTGTATAGCATGCTTAGGTCTCCCCTCTGTCTGCGATAGGATATAGTGAAGAGGTTCACCTCCTTAAGTCGGTCTTCATAAATCAGACCAATCATTTCAGGGATCATATGAGTGTTTGCCCTCTGAACTCTTTCTAGACGGTTTGCATCACGTTTCAGACGGGGACTTGTCGCCTGTGTACAGTTTTCTAATTTAGGCCTAACTAAGGATGTGTATAAATGGTGAACATGTCGCCACTTATTTTCGTAAACGTTCTACATAATGCCCAAAGTGTCCTAAAACTCCGAGCTGCTATCGATTAACAGTGTGCCGTGGTTTTCAAGTCATAACTTATTGTGACTCCCAGGTCATTGTGGGTCAGTACTGATGGTAGAGGAGTCCCACTAGTATCGTAGGTGTTGGTGTGCCCCAAGTGCATGCATTTACAGGCATCAGCCACTTCTATGACTAGGTAAACAAGCTGTTTAGGTCTGCCTGAAGCGCACGTAAGTCCTCGTCGTTCCTAATTTCCCGCCAGATATTTGCGTCACCGGCGTAGAGAGCCATAGGAGATTCCATGATATTTGGCAACTCATTTACGTATAGGAGAAACAGCAGGGGGCCCAGGACTGCCTTGGAGCACTCCACTCTCTACCCCCTCCCAAGAGGAGAGTTGGGGATTGATCCTTACTCTTTGTCTCCTACCAACAAGGAACTCTCTTATCCATGCAAGCAGACTGCCAGTGATTTTCAAACTTTCCGGATGCCCGAGTAACCTGGAATGAGGTGCCTTGTCGAACGCCTTACTAAGGTCTATGAAAATGACATCTACAGGTATCCTATCATCTTTGGACTTAACCCAACTATCCTTGACTATAAGGAGGTCCGTCAAGCAAGAGAAATTTCTGCAAAAGTCATGCTGCGAACGAGACAAGAGCGTTGCTCTCGAGATGGGCTGCGATGGCTTTCTTGATTACTCTTTCGGGGATTTCTACTACAGTACTAGTCAAACTTATCCGCCTGTGATTTGATGGATGCTGCATTGAACCTGCCTTGTGGATAGGTGTCACTATGGTATCCTTCCAGTCACAGGGGAGTGTGCCTTAACTGAGGGGCAGCCTAAATATAGCAGTCAATAGGCCGGCTACATAGAGTGCCAGCTCTCTAAGCAGCCTTGGGTGCAGCTCATCCGGCTCCTTTGGTTTTTCCAAGTTGAGGCTACTTAATGTTCGAGATGCATCATTGCGATCGATATCCACAGAGTTTATTCTGTTGGATGTCAATGCTTCTTCTCTTGGATAAGTGTCAACAGAAAATTCTTGTGTTTGGGCCTGAGGAGAAAAAATATCAAACGCTTCGCGATTTTTTGGATGATGCTTGCGCTTTTTCAATGCTAACCTCTTTATGTTTCCAATCTTAGTATATGTACCGGCGGAGCGATTGATATATTTTTGTGATGATGAGTATTTGAAATGAAAATGTTTCCACGATAAATCTTTCACATGCCATTACTTCGGTGATGATGGTGATATGACCTACAGAGAGCTTTGTGAAAGCCAGTGACACTGCGTTTGTTGGCGTGTTACGTACCAAAAATCACGCATAGGTTAACTTTTTGCTAAGTATTTTCGTGTTAAGATAGTTTTGGGAACACTCTTTTGTATACATGCTAGTGATGAAATGTTTCTTGTGCCAGGTATCCGCAGCTGCTTACCTTTTTCAGATTCTACGTCCCATCAGTCTGTTAGGATTCGAATTCCCCAGATAATTATGGGCCTTTCACATCTTTACCCTTTATTTTTCCGCACATCTCCTGGTCAATATCCCTACATCATCTTTAATTTCCTGCAGCCTTGGAAATTTTAATGGTTATCTGTTCATGGAATAGCATTCCTGGTCTCCTAAAGCCGTGCTCGAAACTGCATATTGAAGTTTTCAATATTCACACTCTCCGTAAAATCGGCCTACAAACTTCTCTGGCCAAAACTTTGGCATTTCGAACCGTAGACATATGCTGCGTTTGCGTAACACGTATACACGACCCAACTGCAGTTATTCACTTAAACTCACACCGGTATAGTGAATCTGCGAACTTTACCCTTCGAGTTTCGGGGATATTCGGTAGGTAGTCCTTGTGGTCTTGCCGTTGTAGGTAAGCCGTGAAGTTCTAAGACAGGAAGTGCACTGCTCGACTACGTTTCAGTTGACAGTCATCTGTGAGTTTGATGGAACCTCATGCTGAGGACAAAAGAGATCATAAAACTGGCTGTTGTCTCTTTGTAATCACTACTTACTCATCCACTGACTGCAGTTTGGAAGAAGTGGAGGATTAATTCTATCGGAAACTGTCTAGTCTTCTATTATAAAAGCCAAGCATTCAGACATGGTTGTTATCGCAGGTGATTTCTATGCACAGGTGGGTAGATTGTCAGGCAGAAAGGCACCTCGGAGACACTTTCGGAATTCCACCCGAACGAACAGATTACGGCGATCGCTCGCTACAACTGTGCTCACAAAAACATTTGTTTCTAGCCAGCACAAACTTCAGACATCCAGAGAGACATTGTCTGACGTGGTATCCTCCGAATTTAACTCAGCGGTAAGCATAGATAAACCACATTACTATCACTGAAGATTGGTAAGAGATTTCCACTCTTTCGGGGCCATGGGTTGGAACTGCGACCACATATCGGTCCAAGCACGTGTATTACAGTACTTAAATGGATGTAGGGAAACTTTATGAACAAGACTATCGCTGATGCAGCCCGATAATGAAAGTAATTAGGCTGCTTTCAATGAAAAACTGGGTAGACAGTTACCGGAATAGAACAATATCACTTATCCAGAAGAAGCTTGCAGCCATCTCTTCTGCTGTAAAAGCAGCGTTAAAGACCGTAGTCAACTCTAAAAGAGTAGTTAAAAAGAGCCAATGGACATCAGCAGCTGCTTCTGAACCGATGGATGCACGCAAACACATCCCTACAGGTTCGGAGCTTAGTAAGAAGCGGAAGCAGCTCAAATGTAGACTGACAAAAGGTCTGCGATATGATAGTAAACAGTGGTTGGCAGCGAAGCCTAAAGAGGTAAGAGTGCTGTGGCGATAGGTAACGGTTGACAGTCATTTAGACTTATTAAGAAAACTGGGGCATAGCAGTCAATGCTTATTGAGACCGTAACGGAGAAGGATTGTTCAGCGATTCATTTGCAGAGATGACTGAGATGATTGACCAAATACTCAGACGAACAGTCCAAGTGGCTTCCAGCTACTATTTTCTTGCTCGCTATCCGCTCAAATCTTAAATGAAACACTGAAATAGACTCTCTAAACCTTGCGGGAGTTGAGAAAGCTGTAAGCAACCTGGAATGATTGAAGACAGATAGTCAAGTAACAGAGGTACTAAGGCCGGCATCAGAGGAATTTTGACTAGATTAGCTGAAGTTTTCGCTAAAATATGGAAGTCAGATATGATTCCTTTTGACTTGTTCCAATAACCAATTGTCTGAGAAGGGACAGAAGTCCTTCTGTGACAACTGTAGGGTTAGGGTCCCCAACAATTGAGAATCCATGTCAGTAATACAGATGCATCCAAACATTTTAATTTTAATCGTCGTACTGAATTTAATTATTTCGTTTCTTGTTGTTTGTTCACTATATTTTTGACTATTTTCCTTATTTCACTTTGATTTTGTCACCTATGCTGAAATGAGGTGTTGTAACTTTGTCCGGTACGCCGTAATGTCAGGTCCCACGTTGATGCTGAATGACTGGAGTATAAGGATAGTCGACCAATGGCTTGTATTAATTCTTACTAGTGAGAGTGCTTTATGGGTATAATCTCGCCTTGGAAGTGACTGCCAGTAGAAAGTTCCATTAAAACGTTAGTAAGAGTTCAGCTGTACTATTTGTTTCAGTCAAGTCCTTAAAGATGATCATCAAATTCTTTTGTCCTCAGGTCACAAAACCGTTAATGTAAATACTTTAAGGTAGCTGAACTTTCAGCTGTGTAGGTGGTTGATTGGAAGTTGTGGTTTTCCGTCAGTAGCCTTTGTTAGAAAAGGGGCTAACAATGGTTCAAATTAGGATGACTAAAAATATGACTGAACTCTCATTTTACTACCTATAGAAATTTTATCTGCTCAACTCCATCAGATGACGAAAGTTGAGTGTTTATCAAGCTACTATAGTAAAGCTTTTTTTAGATGGAAAAGATGAGATGTTAAATGCTCCCTGTTAACGTCCACAGAATGGCATCTATTCTTAC